ATCAATTGAAGACAAAGCTCCGTCGGTAGGAGGTTCTGCACAGTCCGTTACCGGATTACTGCCACATCAGGTTGAAACGCCGTTACCCGTACAATCACCAAAATTAAGCAACGTCGAAACTCGTCATTACATAGATGGTTATCGCTTAGGAATACTGTGAAAGTTTGAATGTGCGGATGGTGTAATAGATAATAGCTTCGAATTGTTCATCGGTGAGCCAAGTTCCAATTCCTTTTGGGTTCGATTATATTCATTTACGCGGAAATAACCTTCTGGAAGGTATGAATCCACTTTTCTACCAATCGGCTATGGGTTAGACGTGCATCTCTAAATCATTCATCATATCCCAAAACTTTTTACTCTCTAAAATATATTCTAAATATATTTTAAATAACATTTACAGGGGTGATATGCGGTAAATAAATAGACTAAATCAATATCCATTGCCGTATAGATAATTACACATTAAATAGCACTTTTCTTTGTTTCTTAGGACAATGCAGTGTCTCTTAATACTTTGCTTAGTTTCTTGGGGGCATCTTTTGGTGTTCTTATTCGCCATCGAATTTCTGTGTCATACTTCAGTTGTTACGATAATACATATATCATTAAATTTCTTTATCTTCGGGGTAACACTTGAATATCCTTCTACATAACGTACGTTGGTACTTTTTCTAAAAAGGCCGTTCTATATTCATTGTGAGACTGCTGTTAATAATATGTATTCCAAAGCTAAACTTAAATCATGTTTTTTTTTTTTTTTCGACTAGTTCTATTCAAGTGTCATATTTCCGCTCAAAAGCCTTTCAAGGTAGAATAAATGGATGTGTCTATTTGCGTGCTTTTGTGTCGGTCTCTCTTCATCTTTTAATTCTGATATATATAGAAAGTGAGAAAAAAAACAACAGAGAAAAGGCATGTAAAACTAGACATATTTGACATAAGAATTGTTTGTTTTTAATTTTTCTTAATATGAGGACTAAAAATTAAAGACAAGCATGAATGTCGGAATAGTAGCAGTTTTTTAAAAAAATAACCCTAACGCACACACGTCACACACACACACACACACATATATATATATATATATATATATATATATATATATATATAAGTCAGTATCTATCAACACAATTATTTATTAATATCCAGACATACATGTAAGCATATGTAATAGTTTTTATAATGTCATATATATATATATATATATATATATATATATATATATATATATATATATATATGAATATATTTTAGACAAGCAACACAAAGGTAGACATACACAAATATACACAAATATATGCCTGTGTATACCGTTTTCTCTCTCACACACACACTCATATTATGTTCAGCATCTCCTCTATATGCACAGACATTTTGATATGCATCTCTCCCAAACACACACATATATATATATATATGCGTTGAGATTAAATTTTATATGCTAATGGAACGGAAGCCATCTCATATCTTCCTGATCTTTGACGCGTCTTTGCAACACCCCAAAGCCTTTTTTTTTCTCAAAGCTCCATCTTTGAATCTTAATATTAAAATAAAATAAACGTTGAAAACTTTTAATATTTACACATTTGCAAATAATAATAATAATATTAATAATAATGATAATAATAATAATAAAAAGCCACATATCTGAAACTGAAGTAAATGATATCATCTTATAGTTTTCTAAATTAAAAGAAAGAAAAAAAAATGTTTCGCTTCCCAAATCGCAGAAACTTCGCGTAGAATTCCATTTTTCTGCTTTTCTCGGCGTCTGTTTTCACAAAGATCTTTGGCTACGATTATTTATTTTCTCGTTGTTTCTCGTGAACAGACATTTCGTTTCAACCAAATATATTATTGGAATATTTCTAAGATAGTTTTCATTCTTAATTCATATCCTAGGAACTCATTGATTACCGAATTCACTCATTATTTCCTTATTTTTTTAAAAATCCATTTTTCCTTCTTTATTGAATTTTATTTCCTTCCAAGTTTTTTATTGTTACGATTGATTAATTCACAAGCTTAATCATAAATTGATTCTTCTTTTTTTCCTGATTTACGGTTTCACTTTCCGTTTTCTTACACAATTTTATTCTTTTAATACAATTGAAAAGAAAAGGGCGTACGACAAGGATGTGTCTTCTCACCAGACGTACTTAAACTTTATAGCGAAATGTGATCCTATGAGAACTAGAAGTCCTAACATTATGTATTATTGTTGGACGCAATCTTAAAGAAAAAGATGTAGAGATAAAACCGAAAAGAAAACTCAAGTTGGACGAAATGACTAGATATAAATTGTTAGAAGACAAATGTATTCTTTTCTGCAAGAGGTACAATCCAAGACATGGACAATAAATAGCAAATTAATGTACGTATAAAAACCCTAATATATGGGAAGTGTTTTAACAGAGGAATGGAAAAAATGACACTAAAATTTCACTGGGATAGCGAAAGTTGTCTGTTGAAAGAGAAGCAATTTAGAAACAAAGAAATGACACTATTTACATTATTCAGATTATTGCCCTCATCTTTTTCGCCATATTTATTACAACGTTTCGGCTCTTTAGTATCTGTCTATATTTCTGAGATGAGGTATTATGTACACTATTTACATTATTCGAACTATTGTCCTCATCTTTGTCGCCATGTTTATCCCAACGTTTCGGTCGTTGTACGCTCCAGCCTTCTTCGATGGAGAAAGAGAGTGACAACGCACTCCCATTCCTGGATGTTCTAATATCTCGAACAGAGCATGGTTTGAAGACATCTGTAACCAGACATTCACCGGACAGTACCTGAATTTCTACTCCCACCATCCACGCAGCATAAAGAAAAGGAACATCGAGAAAACGTCATGTAGGGACCCAGAGATATTAGATAAAGAATTGGTCAGTATAAGTAGTACCCTACAACGTACCAACTACCCTGGGTACATGGCAGCAACTCCAATATACTGGGATTGGCGGGTACAAGAGGAGGACAACAGCACTAAGAAAACCTGCCTTATGTGAAGGTGTTATCAGAGAAAATACAAAAGATCTGCGGTCCGTATAACATAAAGACAATCTTCAAAAGCTTGACGACACTCCGAGTAAGACCCCCCCCATGGAGGAAAACATGACGAAAGACTGTGTGTCCGTTATTCTGTGCAGCTGCGGAAATAAATATTAAGGGGAGACAAGCCGCCCCCTTAAGGTAAGGCTTCAAGAACACCAGAAAGCTGTAACACGATGGGAAGTGGAAAAATCAGGCGTGGCTGACGCTATATGGAGAGAGAAGGGAGATCACTGCCCTCTGTGGGATCAAGTTGAGATCATAGACAAAGAAGATTATTGGAAAATTTGTAAACTTAAGGAATCAGCACATATGCTAGGCCACAAAAATCTCCTGAGCCGACCAAGCATGGAAATGAATATGGGAACCAGTAATAAGAAGTGCCAGAGAAAAGCGATAATAACAAAAAGAATTGCAATATGAGCTCCGGTAAAAAAAAAAACAACAACATGCAATGATAACAGCAAATATTGCAATATGAGCACTGGTAAAAAACGGTTGATGAAGACATTAGTCTTATAATACCCAGAAATTCATATAGAGATGTCCTCAAGGACACATGGCAGTGTGGATAAAGACGTTAGTTAGATCCAGTGACAGGACCCAAAGAGTGTGGGTTAAATCGCTGGTTAAGGCGTTGGAAAACTTGAAAACTCGGAGAGGGGAATTAGCAGGAGATAACTGATAACTGACATCTATCAAACATGACACGTGGAACTAGAACAGTCTACCCCAGTGAGCGAAATAAAGGTTTCACTTCGATATTTCACCCACCTAAAGAAGGCCGGAGCGTACAACGTTGTGATAAACATGGTGACAAAGATGAGGACAATAGTCCGAATAATGTAAATAGTATAGGCCTGTTTTATTTAATGTAACTGTTTGAAAGGAAACAGATAGAAAATAAGATTGAAATTTTAAATTATAAAGTACGATTCTTCTTCTTCTTTTTTCTTTTTTTTACCGTGTCCCTTCAGGACGTGAGCATTCATGTCTTACTAATTTCCTATCATCTTAAGCTCTTTGCAATGTTTCTCTTTTTATCATCACTCCCATACGCCCTCCTAATACCCATTCAAGCAAGCTAATCAGGTAGGGGTCTCCATTTCCCTTGCCCCTTAGATATGCTCTGTGTCATATTTTTCCAATCCCTCCTTACACCATATGAGCCCCCAAAATTGCAACTTTTGATTCTATGTATAAGTGTTTTTTTTGTTCCCACTTTCTTTAAAACTTCCTGATTGCTTACACGCTTTGTCCATCGTATTCTTAGCTTCCTTCTACAAAATTATGTCTCCCTTGCTTGAAGTTTTCCGGCATTTACTAACATGCAAGAGGGTGGATATTATACGTTCGGAAATGTTATCTTTGTTTCTAACGAAAATATAGTACATTTCTCAGCTTTGGGATGCATTTTTTTGCTTTCCTCGCTTTTGTACATAAACAGTTGAACCAAAATAAAATTCATATTATCTTGATAAAGAGACTGGGACAAGAAATAGCTGGTAAACTTTATAGCCTTAAAAAAACTGCTTTTACTCACCACAGAGAACCCTCCCTGCCTCGCATTAGAACGTCTTACCTTTTTATTTCTGAATCTTAGTCCTTGGTTTATTTAATTTTATTTGATCACATTTTTTATTCTTTTTCAAATTTTAAAAACAAAAAATGACGAATAGGGATTCGTCATTTTTTGTTTTGTTAACTTTTTACGTTTGGTTTTCTCGTAATTTCTTTTTTTTTATTGTTCTCTTCTATCTAACTATCTATCTATCTATCTCTTTTGTAGATCTACCTATATTTTTGTCTCTGCAGCCATTTTTGATTTTCCCAAACTTGAATGACGAATTCAGTCACACATGTTTCTCTGCCAGCCTTCTGGAAACTCAATCTTTACTGAAGTTTTCGTATGTTTTTTTTTTTAATTTTTTCTTCAGGTCTCTTTTTTCCATGAAATTTATGCATCGTTAATTTCTTCTAATAAGAATAAACTTATTCGTTATTTGATTCTTCTTTCCTCTTTTACTTCATTCACATTATCTTTTTTCCTGATCTTCCTCTATTCCTTTTTTCCTCATGCTTCTCCTGTCTAAATTCTCTTCCATTTCTTCGTACTCAGCGAAAATTCTTTACTTTTAGTTTCCTTTCTTATTGTCTCCTCTCCAATGATTCACCGTCTCTCTTCATTATTCACCCTTCTTAATTATCGTTAGCCTTCTCTTTCCTTTACGCAGCCACCTCTTCATTCCTTCTCCTTCTCTTTCCCTTCATCCTCAATCCTTCTTAACTGCCATCAATTCTCGTCTTTTAGTCTGTTTTCTCTTTGTAGAATTGCAGCTCAGACCAGACTCCAGGTTCAATCGCTGGTTGCAGTTTATTCCAGTTGAACGCTTGTGACCTAATACGAGGAAAATAATTATTTCGCCGGATCGTTACCCAAGAAAGTAACTATGATACGAAATTGTAGCAGCCGGCAAATTATATTCAGTTGCAACCCACACGTAAGTGCCGACTGTAGGCGAATCAGGAAAAAGAAGAAAGGTAGGGGTCGAGAACGGTCTAATAGTTGTGTCCCACTCTTTCGCGTGACCGACTAGCGGTCTTCTGCTTTAGGCTGCTAGGGGCCACTATAAAACAAAACGTTATTCGTTATGTCAGTTTTCGTCTGAAAATTTAATTCCACCGACCTAGCTCCTAATTCTCTCTACTGAGCTGAACTTCTTTGTCAGGGTCGGTTGACGTGGTTCTTGGGAGGTTGGCTCCACTCAACCGATTTTCTTTGTCAAGACAATAATTGTCAAAACGATTTCTGCAACACCTTGCAGATGTATCTTTTACACGATATCAGCTGACAGCTAATATTGCTATAACTTTCCTTTTTTTTTCCTACTCCTTCTCTTCATTTCTTCTCTATTCATTCGTCATCATTTCACCATCTATATTTCATCTCTGTTTCACTTTTGTCGCCTCTTTGTCGAATATGCATCTCTCTTCCATCTTCCTCTTTTTACTTTATAAGTAATGTGTCTTTGATTCCAAACTTTTCTCCCATTTTATCGCCATCTATTCACATTTCTACAACTTTCACATTTCTACGGAATTGTCATTGATTTTATTTTCGTATCTTTCTTTATTATTTGCCAGCTGGTTCTACTTATTTTCCATCTTCTTTTTCATCTTTTCCATCGTCCTCTTTTTTCATGATCTTCTTCATTTTTTTCTTTTTCGTTTTCAACTTCTTTTTCTTCATCTTCTTTTTCTTCTTTTTTATCTTTATTTTTCTTCTCTTTCTTCTTCATCTTTTTTATATTCTTCTTCCTCTTCTATATTTTCTACAAATTCTTCTTTTCATCTTCTTCTTCTACATCTTTATATTCTTTTTCTTTTTGATTTTCGTTCTCATCTTATTTTCTCATCTTTATCTTCTTCAGTTTCTTCATCTTTTTCATAAATCTTCTTCGTCTACATCTTCTTTTTCTTCATGATATTTTTTCTTTTCATCTTCTTCTTCTTCATTTTCTTCTTCTACCTCTTCATCTCCATCTTTTCTTTTCTTCTTCTTTTTATTTCTTCTTTTTATTCTTCTTTTCAATTTTCATCTTATTTTTAGTTCTTTTTCTTCTTCTCTTTCACCTTCTTCTATATCGTCTTCATCTTCTTTTTTATTCTTTTTGTTCTTTTTCATCTTGTTTTTCATCCTCATCTTTTTGCTTCTTCTTTTCATTTTCTTCTTTTTCTACAGCTTTTTCATCTCCTTCTTCCTTTTAATTTTCTTCTCTTTTTCATCTGCATTTTTTCTCATCTATTTCTTCTTCTTTTTCATCTTTTTCTTCTTTCTGCCCTTCTTCTTCTTTACCCTCGTTTCCCTGTGTTTCATCTTCTGTTTGTATTTTTTATTTGATTCTCTTTGTAAACTATACACTTATTTCACAAACTTTTCCTTCAAATTCAATAATTCATCCAAGTATCTTTCCTACTTTCGTTCTTTTCTTTTTGTTTTTGGTTATCGCCTCTGAATTCTAGCGAATGGCATTATCGCCTTACACCTTACAGATTTTCTGCGCACAATCTTTACTTATGTTATACTGTATTTTTTTTCGGCCAATTCCCACCGAATTGGCTACAACTCCCCCCTTTCCAGCAGCCGAGTATTCATCTCATGTATTATACACTTGTATTTCTTTCTTTTTTTTCTATTTCCTTTTGCCTCTGTCTATCTCTCTTTATATATATATATATATATATATATATATATATATATATATATAATGCTGTTTAAAATTTATGATAAAGGAAAGTGAGAATGGGAGATAGATCGTTTATAGATATACAATGTGATCGTGAGAATTCACACTAGATGGAGACTGTCAATGTGACGCGTCAAGGCAAACATTTTTTCTGAAAACCACATTGAATCTATCTATCTATCTATCTATCTATCTATCTATCTATTTCTTTTGCAGATCTACCTATATGTCTGTCTGTCTATCTATCTATCTATCTATCTATCTATCTCATTTGAAGATCTATCGATCTATCTATCTATCTATCTCATTTGCAGATCTATCTATCTATCTATCTATCTATTTCTTTTGCAGATCTACCTATATGTCTGTCTGTCTATCTATCTATCTATCTATCTATCTATCTATCTCATTTGAAGATCTATCGATCTATCTATCTATCTATCTCATTTGCAGATCTATCTATCTATCTATCTATCTATCGATCTATCTATCTATCTATCTCATTTGCAGATCTATCTATCTATCTATCTATCTATCTATCTATCTATCTATCTATCTATCTATCTATCTATCTATCTATCTCTTTTGCAAATCCACCTATATATTTATCCATGGTTTTTGCTGATTGACCTATTCGAACCTTTTTAGATCTATCTATTTTTATATTTTTCGGTCTGTTTCAGTTTATACAAAATCATTTGCATTTATTCGTCGAGTTTGTTCGCTTATATGCTGTAGTTTTGGTTACATTCAACACGTTGTCATTCCATTTTTTTTTCACTTGATCTGTCCAATTAATTATTTCCGTGCCTCTTTAGGACATTTTTGGCACACTTCCCATCATTCCCCGTGCGAGGAATGTTCTTCCTCTAAAGAAATAGGCCCATTCATCAAAACCACAGAAAACCAAATAAAAGATATGATTTCTATTTTTTTAACTTCACTGTTTTCAACATTTTCACACGTCTGATGTCTAACACAAATTAAATTTAAAAAATTAATTCAAACCAGAAGGAAGGAAAGAAAGATTTTTTCAAATATTTTTGTTTTACATTTTCCGTTATCGACTTGTTTTCTTTGCGGAATCTGTTCAAACTCGACCCATTCTCTGCATGCTTACACCATTTTCTGTCATTTGGTTCTTTCAAAAAGATTTCCATTTTTCTAAATGAAAGTCGCGAAATAGAATCCGGCATCGTTTAGGTGTTCCTCTGGGGAGGGGGTCTTATTCTCCCCCGCTGCAGTTTGGCTCCCCGCTGCAGCCTCTTACCACGCATACTTCATCGCTATTTCCATAGCAACTATTCCGATGGCCTATATTCTTCAGTTCTACACTTCAGACATTTACTGTTAGAAAATACCATTCTAGTTCCACAGGATAACAATCAGCCTCTTTTCCTGTATTACTCTATAATCCCCAAGTCAAACTGTTTCTTGGGCCTCGTAAACTGCATTGTAAAAAAAACGGAAAGAAAAATTCCAAATAAAAGGAAAAAAAATCCCACTCGTATTATTCCAAGAACTGAGAAAACATTCGCGTGATTGCTTTCTAGAGCACTATAAACCTATAATCCTCATCTCAAGGTTCAATCATTCCGGGTGTAACAGCAACGTTAACCAAATCGTGTAACAACAAAATTGTCCAATTGTCAGATGAAGCTTCGAGCCGTTGTATCTTAGAAATGATTAAAGATATCTTACTGGAATTCTCCGAGGTTTTTATAATACTATTGGGTTCTACTTTAAGCATTAAGAATGTATAATTACTCTCGATCATTACCAGAAGTATCGTTTTCGTGGATCCATCATAAACAAAAATTACATGTTCATCATTAAGTAATCATACATAAGAATGGAAAATTATGAAAGATTGAAATAAAGTTATATATATATATATATTATTCCAGGAAATGTTTTCAAATCATTGAAGATGATCTTCGTCCTCTCTAACCTTTTAACTTTCTGTTCGGAAGTAGCAAGCTGTTTCAGAGGTTTCACATACGATTTCATTTTCAAGTCCTTTTTTTCCTGCTCTTCGGACACTCATAGCTGAATCTCCTCTCTCACGTGCCAAACGTCTTGTGGATTGAGTTGGATCTTTTCCAATTGATTTCTTTAGCGCTAAGTTGAAATGATGATACCTCTTCCTGTTGGGACCTGATCCAGTTTTTCTCTGTATTGTTACCTTTTTTTTAAAACGTATTCACCGTTCTCTTGATGGTTCTTGAATGGACTTTGAAGATAGAAGCTAGAGTATAAATGTTGATAGCATTAGTGAAGGCCTGAATGATGTTTTTTCCTCTCACCATTGCTCATTTGGAAAGACAGTGGGGCTGACACAAAACTATTTATCTTTTTCTCTTTCTAGTTGAATAACTCAAAGGGTTTTTCAGAGATTCTTACGACAAATGGTGTCAAGATGGTTAAACGTCTTATCTGATAAACTGGAAAAAAGAAACTCAATGGACAATTATGTGGTTACACGCTGTGGACAATTTTGCTGTTACACCCAGTATATCCTCCATAGCGTCGTAAACTTCACATTCTACTAGCCACTCTTTAATTCATGTCACCCACTTTATTCTTCATGGCCATTAAAACAGTAATCCTCTACCGTGAATGCCTCTCGAGCATTATGTTGTGTTAACATTACTGCTAAAAACTACAGCAGTAAGTGTCATCAAAAATGACTTGCAGTTTGTTTTGGACATAGAAAAGTTTAAAATATGTAACTCCTTCTTTTATGTCTCTAATTCCTTTAATATTTAGGCACTTATGACTCTCCATATTTTCTTATACTTTGTAGCTCTAAGCAGTATTTTCCTTCTTACTATCGTCTCGGGTCTCTGTTGTGCAATTCCGCTTGTAGGCTATTTAATATTCCCCAATTTTCTATTTGCTTTTAATATATCCTGCGAATGTCAAATTCTCCAAGCCTCCTTTCCTCATTATGTATCACAAGTATTTTCGTCTGTCAGTTTCTAATTCAAACTATAAGCGTGTTTTGTTACGATTTTTCTTAAAGGTTACTCGTTTCTCACATCTTCCGTCTCTGGAATAATCAGCATTTTCCTGTGGACCGGAACCGTGAGGAAATTTTCCAGCGTTCACTGGCATATACGTTGGCAAATTATATTCTTTTTGAAAGTAGCTTCCGTTGCAAAGCCAATGCAGTCCGAAGACGGCCGAGCGCGGATATTATTGAAGTACGCATTAAACATTCACCACTCCAGAACGAGGTGCAAATATTTGATCTATCTGAGAATAGGAAAGCGGCTGGGAAAGGTGATATCTAAAAATGGCTATCTTGAAGTTGGTGACAGAACTGGAGTAAATTATACGGGAATTGACTATAAGTACGATCAAGTTCCTTGGGGATATAGTCATTGGACAAAACAAAACGGTATATATGATGGTTTATAATGAAAGCAACAACATTATTTATTTGTTTTTTTACGCTTACTTACAGTCTGAAAATATTTTTAGATTGTAGGGATGTTTTTGAGATAATAATATTTTAGTGATAAAATTCTTACTAATTAGCCCATTATTGAATGGAGAAAAGGTGGTTTCAAACCTTTCCCAAGAGTTTTTTTTGGTTTGGGTTATTTACGGTATATCAACCTCAACAGGTTATTTAAAGCCGACCAGATTTTTAGAATATGTTCGATGAAATGAATGTTCACGTAAATGACCCACTGCCTACGATTTGCCTGTTTAATTCTCTAAGCCAGATTTTCTCATTATATACTAAGACATTTCAGCTGCTACTATCTGATTCTGAGAATAACTGTCTTTTTCCCATTTTCCTTGCGATTTCTTCGTTGCTTACGCCCTCCCCCTATGAAATTCTCAACCTTTTTCTGTAAAACCACATTTCACTTGTCCTCAGTTTTTTTTTCCTTCATCTGCAATTGTTCATTATTCAATGCCATGAAAAACGATTAATATTGCATAAGAGTTCAGCAGTCTTTTCTTTGTTTTTGTTACGGTCCGGTTCCTTGTACCACGGTGATAATCCAAGGTAGAACCAATAAAGAAGAACTCGAACACAGGTATGGAATAACACAGATATATTACAAACAGGAATATATACAGAGAAGTAGAAGTGTTAGTACAAACAATCAGGTTCAGTAGAGAGAACAATGTAGTCTCGACCAGTATCACTATTCCAATGTCTTGTAGTAATTGTCTGAACGCGACTTTGTTTCGGACTGCCTCTGATTCGACTGACTGACAGACTCCGGACAGACTCCTGACGGACTTCACTCCAGACTTCAGACTGAACTCTCTGCTTCCTCTTGAGGCGCAGTATTTATTACGTATGGAATAGTCTATTATGTTATTATGGTAAGATCCCATAACACCCCACTTCCAAAAATTTTGCGTAGCAGGGTTTTTTTAATATCTTTTTTTTTGGGGGGGGGATCTATTTCCAAATGTTCAGTAAATTTTCTTTTTCTAGACGATTCTCTTTGTTCTGACATTATTTGCGGTCTCGTTATATTGAATGTGTCGAAAATCGTGTCCAATACCTCTTCTTGAGGTGGACTATTACCATCCTGTAACGGTCTCTTCCTTATTTACTTTACGTGTTTCTGTGTGAGAATTTTTTCCTTGAACTATGTACATCATATTACCAATTATTTTCTCAATTATCCCTTGTTCCCAGCAAGAGGTATTATTTTTGTATACCTTAAAAAAAACGTTTCCCCTGGGAGGAATGTTCTTTTTGGTGTGTAGGACTGTGTTACTTGTTTTGTTTTACTTGTGAGTAATTTATAGAACGCTGATCTGATTGTCCTAGCAAACATGCTGGTGATAATGTTGAAGGTGTCGCTTTATTTGGCGTTATTCTATATAACTGTAGGAATTGCTGTGATGCTTTCTCCGTAGGCACATCGTACGCTTTTCGTAATGCTCTTTTGAGAGTATTCACGAATCTCTCCTCTTGTCCATTTGATATTGGATGATAAGGAGGGGATTTTATATGTTTTACATTATAGATTTCGCAAAACTCTTGGAAATCTGCTGACGTGAATTGCGTTCCGTTATCTTTTACTAAACAGTCCACAACGCCAAACCGAGCGAATAGCTCGTGTAGGAAATTTATGGTCTCTTCTGTAGTAGGATTTTTGCACCGAAACACCTCCGGCCATTTACTGTAGCTATCAACTATGATTAAATAGTAGAACCCGTCAATTGGTCCTGCATAATCTGCGTGTATTCTTGACCATGGACGATCAGTTTCAAGCCAAGGCTTATGTATGATCGGCGGTGCTTTAGCTGCTAAATTATAACCCTTGCAAATTTCCACCATTTTAGAAATATCCTGGTCCATATTCTTCCAATATACATAGCTTCGCATTAGCGACTTCATCATATTTTTACCCGGATGTCCTCTGTGGAAATCCTTTAGTATCCGTTTTTGTAATGTTTTGGGGATTACAACCCTTTCGTTGTAAAGTAGCACATTATCGCATAGAGAAAAACTGTCCGAAACTTTCTCATTTTTTCTGCTATTTTTGCTTGTCTTTCATTAATAAATTCGTCATTTTTGGCTTCATTTTTTATGTCTTGAAATGTGACTGGGAGGTTTCTGACTGTACAACATAGTACTGTTCT